CCGCTGGAAGGGGAGAGGTCTCTTCTTCTTCCTCCTCGTCTTCACAGGAGGAATGCGCCTCGGAACCGTTGGATGATGGATCCGACACCTCCTGGCGCCGGGCACTCTTTTGAGTCCCCGTGGCGTTCTTCGTGGCCTTCTTCTCCGGCACCACATAGGGTGCCGGAACCAGCAGCTTCACCAAACGAACGTCCGCTAGGCCTTCGGGCAAAGGAGCCGGACAGTTGATTTGTCCGGACGTCTCCTGCCAGTCCTGTCAAAGGTAAGAGGGCTTAGATCCCGCATGGAGTCAAACTATGAAAAACTAATACCCTGTAAAAGGAAAAAATAGCTTACCGCATGAGCGTGACGCTGTGTACTAAATCCGCGATCCTCGGTAGCGGATGCGGGGGCCTCGACGCCCTTGAAAAGCACCTTCCAGGCATCTTCGTACATCGTGTCGAAGAGCCTGCTCAGAGTTCAGTGCCGCGCTGGGTTGAACTCCCACAGGTTGAAAGCCCGTTGTTGACACGGGAGGATCAGGCGGATGAGCATAACCTGGACTACGTTGACAAGTTTGAGCTTCTTGTCCACCATGGTTTGGATGCATGTTTGGAGTCCGGTCAGCTCTCCTTTTTTACCCCACGACAGGCCCGTCTCCTTCCAGGAGGTGAGCCGCATAGGGGGTCCGGATCGAAACTCGGGGGATGCGACCCATTCGGGGTTGCGCGGCTCGGTGATGTAAAACCACCCGATTGCCACCCCTTCAGGGTCTCCACAAAGGAGCCCTCGAGCCATAAGACGTTGGGCATCTTGCCCACCATGGCGCCTCCGCACTCCGCCTGGTTGCCACGCACCATCTTCGGCTTGACATTGAAAGTCTTGAGCCATAGGCCGAAATGGGGGCGGATGCGGAGGAAAGCCTCGCACACGACGATAAACGCCGAGATGTTGAGGACAAGGTTCGGGGCCAGATCGTGGAAATCCAGGCCATAGTAGAACATGAGCCCCCGGACAAATGGGTGGAGAGGGAAGCCCAGTCCACGGAGGAAATGGGGGAGGAACACCACCCTCTCATGGGGCCTAGGGGTGGGGATGAGCTGCCCCTTTTCGGGAAGCCGGTACGCGTTGTCGTTAGACAGGTATCCGGCCTTCCTCAGTTTTTTGATGTGTCCCTCCGTGACGGAGGAGACCATCCACTTGCCTCCCGCTCCGGACATGGCTGGAGAAGGTTGAGGTGGGGAGTGCGGACTTGGGCGCTGGAGCTCAAGTGCGCGAGAATGGATAGGCAAAGGAGGAAGAAGGCGTAGGTGAAAAGGTGGATCCTTGTCCCCTTATATTGGTGGACGCAACTATGTGTCCCCACCAGCCTGGTAAAACTCGCTTATCTCCAAGCGCCGTAATCAATGGCGCGGTTGGGTTACCCACGCCCGTATTGATGAGAATCCCGGAATAAGGGGACACGATCTCTGCTTTAACAAGACGTGCCAAGGAAACCGCCTCGCATGACGTGCTGAGGTGGGATAATAAAACGACTCGGGTAAAGGCTTGGCCATGGTGTGTCACACTACGGAATACGTCAGCAGATTAGATTTGTGTAAATGTTATTCTCTCTATGGCAATATGTGGAAACTTATTTTGCAGAGCCGGACACTATCTTTGTGTTCAAAATCTTCTATGAAGTACTTGGAGGAGGAACCCGCCTTGCAATGCCGAAGACAATCTGCGCGCCGGACTTGTCGTCATTGAAGCCTGGTTCAGGGCCTACTGAGGGAGTCCTGGATTAGGGGGTGTTCAGATAGCCAGACTATACCTTCAGCCGGACTCCTGGACTATGAAGATACAAGATTGAAGACTTCGTCCCGTGTCCGGAAGGGACTTTCCTTGGCATGGAAGGCAAGCTTGGCGATACGGATATGTAGATCTCCTACCATTGTAACCGACTTTGTTTAACCCTAACCCTCTCCGGTGTCTATATAAACCGGAGGGTTTTAGTCTGTAGGACAACATAAACAACAACAATCATACCATAGGCTAGCTTCTAGGGTTTAGCCTCTCCGATCTCGTGGTAGATCTACTCTTGTACTACCCATGTCATCAATATTAATCAAGCAGGACGTAGGGTTTTACCTCCATCGAGAGGGCCCGAACCTGGGTAAAACTTCGTGTCCCTTGCCTCCTGTTACCATCCGGCCTAGACGCACAGTTCGGGACCCCCTACCCGAGATTCACCGGTTTTGACACCGACAATGATGGCGACGGATTCCCCTCTCCGGAGCCCCGAACGGACTCCAGATCAGCCCTCCCGAGAGGTTTTAGGGCTTGGCGGCGGCTCCGTATCGTAAAACGCGATGATTTCTTCTCTCTGATTTTTTTCTCCCCGAAACTCAATATATGGAGGTGGAGTTGGAGTCGGAGAGGCAACAGGGGGCCCACGAGGTAGGGGGCGCGCCCCCCACCCTCGTGGAGAGAAGGTGGGCCCCCTGGCCTTCATCTTTGGCAGGTATTTTTCTTATTTTCTAAAAAGTGGCTCCGTGAAGTTTCAGGTCATTCCGAGAACGTTTGCTCCTGCACATAAATAACACCATGGTAATTCTGCTGAAAACAGTGTCAGTCCGGGTTAGTTCCGTTCAAATCATGCAAGTTAGAGTCTAAAACAAGGGCAAAAGTGTTTGGAAAAGTAGATACGTTAGAGACGTATCAAGTATCCACTATGTTCTGAGATTGATGTTGCTATGACTTTGATATGCTTAATGCTTGTCACTAGGGCCCGAGTGCCATGATTTCAGATCTGAACCTATTATGTTTTCATCAATATATGGGAGTTCTAGATCCTATCTTGCAAGTCTATAGTCACCTATTATGTGTTATGATCCGTTAACCCCGAAGTGACAATAATTGGGATACTTACCGATGATGACTGTAGTTTGAGGATTTCATGTATTCACTATGTGTTAATGCTTTGTTCCGGTACTCTATTAAAAGGATGCCTTAATATCCCTTAGTTTCCAGTAGGACCCCGCTGCCACGGGAGGGTAGGACAAAAGATGTCATGCAAGTTCTTTTCCATAAGCACGTATGACTATATTCAGAATACATGCATACATTGCATTGATGAATTGGAGCTAGTTCTGTGTCACCCTAGTTTATGACTGTTACATGATGAACCGCATCCCGCATAATTCTCTATCACCGATCCATTGCCTACAAGCTTTCCATATATTGTTCTTCGCTTATTAACTTTTCCGTTGCTATTGTTATCATCACTACAAAACACCAAAAATATTACTTTTGCTACCGTTACCTTTTATCACTGTTACCGCTACTATCATATTACTTTGCTACTAATCACTTTGCTGCAGATACTAAGTTTCCAGGTGTGGTTGAATTGATAACTCAGCTGCTAATACTTGAGAATATTCTTTGGCTCCCCTTGTGTCGAATCAATAAATTTGGGTTGAATACTCTATCCTCGAAAACTGTTGCGATCCCCTATACTTGTGGGTTGTCAAACACTCTTCCCCTCTCGTTGCTATGCATCACCTAGATAGATCTTGCGTGTGCGTAGGAATTTTTTTGAAATTACTGTGTTCCCCAACACCGACTGCCTAAATAACGCTATGACCGACACATGCGTTAAGAATCACGGAGATCCCACACATTCTTTCTCCCTCAATGAAGAGGTACCCTACCCCCTCGTCTGGGATTCAAGGACGCTACACCTGTTGGGCGAAGGAGTCGTTCACCCTAGACCTAGGAAATGTGTTGTCTTAGGTTACCAAGGCAGAACAATTGCATGTGACTGCCTCGCCGCGGCGGGCGAACCTCGACAACACAACGTTGTTGCCTGCTGATGACCAAGCCAAAAGAGGATAAGTTGCATGGTAAACATATTGAAACCAAAGGAACATAAAGCTCAGGGAGGACGACAAGCATCCAAACCAAGTGTTGCAGGCACTAGGAAGGCTTAGGGACTTGATGAATCGCAGCAACGCTGATGTCGGGGAGGGGATCCCACGTAGAATTGAGGGTGACGAACTACCACACAATAGGACGACACCCACAGGCGAGCACCAAACAGAGTATAGTAGACCAGAACTCGTCGGCTCAACACCAAAGCCGCCTCTCAAACAAAGTTGGCACCTATCACGCACATGCTATACGACGCCCCTAGGGAGGTCACGACGCCACCGCTCAATCCGAATGGGATTGTAGGTTTTCACCTTGGATCGAGGGGGGAGAGGGAACCTCGGCGGTGCCTCCTATGAGGAGGACAACACCAGTGAGGGTTGCCACCATAGTGATCGGCCAGGCCAAACAGGGACCTCTCTTGGTCTCGATACTCATACCACCTTAGCCCGTCATACAACTCAACTGGTGACCAACGACCATTAGTGCCAACGACTAGATTCGCCGGGAAGTGAGCCAAAGGGGAAGATGTGGCACTGACCTTTGAATCGGATGCCAGAGGCGACGTCCCTGCAGCCCACGGACCACACACCGCACTGGGCGCCGCCTCGCCGGACCGCATCAATAAACGCCCTTGCTGCTCAGACAATGTCGCCTCTCCACTCATGGTTCTTGCCTTGGTACCCATAGTCCCTTCACCCGAGCAAGGGAGCAGCCGAGGCCTCACCGCAACCATCATCGGCGGCCGCGCAGATTATCCTAGTGTCTGCCTCCGGCGGTGGCGAGGAGAAGTGGGGAAGGGAAGCGGTACCCTAGTAACCCTCGAATCGCCCACATGGATTTTTCTTTTTCTTTTTTTAAGACCTCCACAAATCTCATTTCATCACGAAAATTGGCATGCATGTGAAATACACATCAATTTTGTTGCAAAAAAACAGTTTCTTTAAAAAAATACATATTTTTCGATTTTACTGTAGCAAAGGGTGCACGTGAGCTCGAGCTCACATACTCCATGTCCATGATAGGCTATTTTCTCCTGTTGAATGTCCTTATTTCTGCCAGGCAGTGCTCATGAATGATAAAAGAATCGAGAAAATAAATTGCTCCTCTGTTTAAATAGCACTCCAACCATTCTCCACATTCACATGTGCGTTCCTCATGGTCCATGCGCTGAGCTGTGGCACCCTGACCGTGGCACTTCCATTGTTGAAGGCATACATGTGGGCCTTGCCGACACCAGCGAGCACCGCTGGATAAACTCTGGACGTGATGCAAACCCTACCACCACCACCGAAGCTCTCCACCGCCGACCGATCAATCTGCAAGGCAGCATCCATCCATCCATTTTCAACTATGACATATAGGAAGTGAATAAAAGGAGAAATGGCAGAGCCTCCTTAGCTTACCAGAGTTCTAAGAGATATATTCCTCTCCTTTGCAAGATCAAGTTCAAAGAAGCCTCCATAGGCTGGTGTGTACGGTGATGGTCTGATGGAAGACCTGTGCAAAGAAAAGAAAAACTTTCAATTTAGTTTTCAGACTTTTATGGAGAAGACTAAGCAAAACTAAGGCAAAAAACAGAAGCAATGACCTTCTTAGATCAGAGCACATGAGTATCATGTACTTTCGCTGTGATTTGTAGACTCTGAAGTGCACGACAGTGTGCTCATCCATGTTGTTTGAGGCCAGAATAACAAGTCCAAATGGCCCTATACCACCATGAACCGATGCACCGGCTTCACAACAATGCTTCTCTGGGTCCAAAAGCCAGGAAGGATCAAAAGGTTCGGCGGCATCGATGGACGTCAACTCAAAATATATCTCCACATCAGCCTGTTTCAAGAAAACTTGTGCCTGATTAGCTATAATTGCTCTTAAAAATACACGACACACCAAAGCTTCGGAATATATACCTATCCTTCTCCTGAAAAATGCACTATACAAATAATTAGTAATTATCAGAAGGCCCTACAGTTCTTACTGGCTTGACACTTCTCGAAATAACATAAATTCTCCTGAAGACCAAGTAAGCTGTGAAAAGGAAACTACCTGAAAAGTGTCAACTCCATTGATCTCAAACAAATCTCCCTTGTTGAGCTCAAGTCCTTGATGGTTGATTTCATTTGTTCGAAGGGACTCAATCTCATCAACTGGCCATTGCAGCAACTGCTTGCCATTGCCGTCTAACCAAATCGTCCTGGGGATTGTCTAAACATAATAAAAACTGAGCTTAAATATGTTACATTGATTTGCTAAATAAATTAGATCATTATTCCAATATGATATGAAGCACAACCAATTAGGGCGAATTTGCTTACATGGATTCCTGCCCAACCTTTTGCAACATCATCTGAACGACAATCTGCCTCCTGAGACCAACCCCATATGATCCTCCTGCCCTTTTTCGAGTCAAAGAATGACTTTGAAGCATAGAAATTGCCATAATCAATCCTCAGCCACAGCCGACAGTCATCTACGATAGTATCAGGCACAAAGGCATCACGTTTGAGATCATAAACCCCAATCAAGTACTTGTCAAAGTAACCCACGCTCATTTTGAGGGCATGCTTGGCGCCTCTTGGGATCGCTACGGACATGTCCAGTCCACTGTTATAGCCTGGCAATACCGCAAAGAAATCCGGGCACTCCCACATATTGGACAAATTATGAGAATACAGTGGGTGATCAACTCTTGTCCAACTCAGAAAGTCTTCACTCTTGTACAAAAGTGCAGCGGTGTAGCTGTACAGCTGAGCACCAACTGCTATCCTCCACAGTCCATCTGGTCCGATCCAACCGGTTGTCGGATCCCTGAAGCAGCTTCTGTTCAAACCCGGTACTACCGGTTGGATCACTGGGTTATTGCCTGCTTTGGTCCATTCTCTCAGGTACGGGTCAGACAGGTTCCTGGGAAGCAAAAGGTTTTGGACCTGACAGTTGTCTATGCTGACACCGGTGTATAGGATGACCGGTTGACCACCAGACAAAATTGTGGCTGAACCGGTCCAGCAGCCATCTATGTCACTCGGGTTATCCGGTTCTATCACGGGTTCAAGCTGGATCCAGTTGACAAGGTCTGTCGAAACCGAATGGCCCCAAGCTATGTCACCCCAACACCAGAGGGCGCAGTGGGGGTTATACTGGTAGAAATTATGGTAGATGCCTTTGTAGTACATTAGTCCTGAAATATTTATAAAGGAAGTATAATTGTTAGAATACTGCAACTCCTCCTTTTTATTTAGAGGTGTTTGCGCCGAGATATTCATACCACATGGATCTTTTGTGTCATCGTAGATTCCGGAGGATCGCCAATCCATCGGATATTTGGAAAAAAGTGAGAGAATGTCAATTTAATGCAACAGATATAGAATGATCCATGTGGCCAGTTATGGAAGGGAAAAGCATCCTACTTTGCCTAACTGAATTTGGTCTGACCAAAAGTAACACTAACGGTGGAGCAAATATGGACAATATGCAAGTGGCATAAATCTTGGCGAGAAGGTACATATCACTATTTCTGCCATGAATACTTCCATTTTATTTTGCGCGAGCATCTATGGCTATAATCATCTTACGGCAGTATTACTCAAAATCTAACGGCAGCATTCAGCAAGAGATTTGCACAAGCAATGAGCTGGCCACCAAACTTTTCCATCGTCTCTATTCATTTTTGACACAAAAATGGCAGCTCTGTAATGATAGTATTGCCAAAACTATTATGTACTTTAACAAGCATATTATTTAATATTGGCACACAAAATTAAGATTGAGTAGTGTGTTCAACTTGGCTTCTCCACGTGGGCAAGCCACTAAACAATGAGGTCACATGATTTTTCATGGACCAAGAACAAGAAAAGGCACACGAAAGCAGAGTGGCATACACCAACAGATGATCCAGAAAGCAGAGATGAATGAAACCTAAAGGAAATAAATAGAGAGGAAACCAAACCAGAGACATGATCATATGAACATACCATTGATCCAATTCATGGGAGGCTGGAAGTGGTAGGCAGTCCTGTACCTCGTGCTGACAATATAGGGGACCTCTGGAGACAGTGGACAGAAGGAGACCTCTGGAGACTGTGGGCAGAGGGAACATCTCCCTCCACTCCCATTGCTGCTGCTGTTGGAGAAGAAGAGGTTGGATACAGAGGAGGAGAGGAAGAAGAGGGCAGGGAGGAGGACGAAGGCCCAAGGTAGCGCCATGGCGGCAGAAGGAATGAGAGATTGAGGAGAAGGAATCAAAGATTTATGGGGGTGTGTTGTGACATGTGAAGGCGTTGTCGCTTAAGAAGCTGCTTAGTTAGGTGCTTCTGCAGAGGAAGAGGCTGCAGGAGGAGGAGGAGGAGGGCCGCGGCACCTGCGTGGGCTCAATGTATTCGTCGACATGCTGGAATAGGCGATGCCGGTTTAGAGAGGAGATGGAGGAAATGTCGTGGTAGAGAATGAGCACCGAGGCGGCTGTGGTGCGCGGGAGCGGCACGGGGGCATACAACGCCCGGTCGGCTGGACTTAGCGCCAGTGGCGGAGCCAGGATTGGCTGACGCCCCAGGCGAGAAACTAATGGTCAAAAAACACCTAAAAACCCAACTTTAAGGCATACAAAAGTCACACTATATTGCATAACTAACCAAATCCCAAACATAATATTCAATGGCAGTATTTGTTCAATGACGGTTCAACTAATAAAGTAAAACATATCAAAATAATATATAGCATAAATAAATGATACAAAAGATGGTACCAAATCAAATGATTTATCGATCTGAGCTTACCATGAGTACATCTTCAATAGTAGAAGAAGGTAAACCTTCAATGATTTGAAATGCAAATCAGCACACCTTCAATAGATATAATCTGTGGAACGTTATCAATTTTTTGAGTTAAAGGACCTGTTCCTGTGGATCCCGCGATTTGAACTAGAAAAAAAACATCATTGTCTTGTTTCTCTTATTCATCTTCATTTTGTCTTCCTGTAAAATTACATGCAAACAAAATTTACTGAATCGGTTTCAACATTTACAAAACTGCAGAATTACAATACAAGACTAAGGGAAGGAAACAACATTGAATTTCATTCGAGGTATCAAACAGTGGCATTTGCTAGCGGGATTGAGATGAGCTGTTGTTGCTCCTCTCCTCGAGACCTGGACTGGACGAACAGGGCGATCGTCGCCTCGCCGGGGCTGCAAAGGAAGCCGTCAACCAAGATTCGAAGAAGGAGAAGAAGGGGAGCATTGGACTGCCCTCTGCCGCATGGGGCTGGCCAGCTGGGCATGGCGAACGAATAATGGGTCGACCGCGGCGGGGCACGGCTGCCGGCGGCGAGCGTGCGGCGGCAGGCAGGCGGCAGCCCAGGCAGGGTAGGGTTCTTTTCTTTCTCGTCAGACTGCTCGCGCAGGCGCAGCCGCACGGTCGCACTGCTTCTCCTTTTTTTTGATCATTGTGTATTATTGGGCTGAGTCTCAGGTCCAGCTAGGATTAGAAGTGGGCTGCGCCCCAGGCCGAATTCCTTTTTTCTTGATATGGGGCTGGGCAGACTCAAGAATAAAAGATATAGGGCTGGGAAAGTTTCTGACGGCTCAGGCCATTGCCTAGGCCCAGCTCCACCGTTGCTTAGCGCCGTAGCCGTGGTTGAACGCGACGCCGTACCGCGTCGGCAGAATGGAGCCGAGGCGGAGCACCATGAGCGGCACGGCGTACCTGCCCTGGCGGCAAGCGCATCGAGAGCTTTGGCGGCCCGGAGTGGGGTGAGTGACCTGAAGATGTTCGACGGGAATTGACCCTAAAAAAAGAGTATTCCCACTTGACCCGGCATATCACAAAATACATCATCATAAAAAAAATCTATATCTATATCTATACATAATCTCGACCTAAAAATAAAAAGGCTGCTGCTTCTGTTCGTCCGCCTTAAAATTATTTTCGAAGTTGACACAAACTATCCACTTTTTTTTAGCAATTGCATCATTTATTAAACATTCAAACATATAGGGATACAGATAATATCGGGCATACTAGTAAGCCACACGTGGCGTCCGGGAGGAAGAGAGGTTGCTGCCTTAGCTAAGGCATGGGCCTCCCCATTGTGTTTCCTATTATCATGGATAAACTTGACATTAGTAAAAGACCTCTTCTGGTGCTTTATCGACAAGGGGAATCATCTTCTATCCTGGTGACGACTTCCACGCAGTCCGAAGCCATGCATACAGACTGAACATGAAGATCAATGGCAAGGGCGAGTGCCTCGCTGCAAGCCTGAGCCTCAAGAATTGTGGGATCCAACAGGCCTTCGAAAATAATCGCCGAGGCCCCTAGGTAATTGCCATTCTTATCTCGGCATACCACCGCGGAGGCGCTACGGTCTCCAATCTTGGAAAAACCATCGTCGGCATTCATTTTCACTGCATGGGTTTCAGGTGGTAGCCAACCTGACCGCAGTCTGTCCGTCTTCGTCTCCCGAATTCATATACCGGTCCCTGGGCATTACATGCAGGTCCTTTGAGATCGCATGCAGGTCCTTGGTGCGTGCCATTTTCTTAGAAATTTGTTCAAGCTCTGCCACGAATTTGTTAATAAACACAAGTACTTAGTGGACTCTGGAATTGGTTGTCATGAATGGCACATCGTCTCGCCTACCAGATAGGCCACATCGTGACAAGCACACGCGCTAACTCCGATGTGGGTAGCGTATCAACCAGCCAAAACATCCATAGCTTGGTGTCCTCCGTCCGATTCGAGATAATGGCCTTGGTCAAGTCTTCGTTAGCGAGAGCCGAAACGGAGTGCATCATATGGCAGTCAAAAAGAGAATGGCGCCACGAATCCACTGCTGCATGGCAAAGTGAGCATCCCGCTGAGTCAATCATGTTTCTGTGTTTTTGAACAGCTCCTGTAGGGATCGAAGTTTTAGCCAAACGCCAAGCGAACACTCTTACCTTTGAAGGGACCGCGACTCCCTATAGTTTGGCCCATGACCTGCAATCCGCTACACCATTGGAGTGACCCTCATACACAAAATATCCACTATGCCACCTATAAGTGGAAAAACGGTCCGCTCCACTGCGTGGACCTTTTGGGTTTATATATTGTGCGATCCCTAACTAAACACAACAACACAACCGGCCCACTAGCCAGATCCTTACTCCACCACCCAGAAGACCTGATTTGGACTGCAACCCCTCTTCCTTTTCTTTTTCACTTCTCCTTTTCTAAAATTCAAATACTTTTTAAAAATATTTATATTTTTTAAACCCTAACTTCAAATCTAACATGTTATATATGAAAATTGTTCAGAAAAATATGTAGATTTCGGATATGCTATTATCTTGCATGTTACTCATTTCTAGAATAAAGCTCATGATGCAACCTTAATTACTTCTCTATATATGGTATTTTAGAAATGCATATTGCATATGTATCCTATCCCATTTAACTTGAGTAGATATGATAGTTTAATGCTCTCACAAAAGATAGTATTGGCACTATAAGGTCTTTTGATTCCTGCTAGCTACCATATGCTAAAGGTTACAATAGGTACATAGTCATCCGATTTCCTATCACGCACAATAACCAACCAATATATGATGATACAAACTAAATTGTTTTTGCGAGCTTTTATGTAAAAAAATGGCTTAATGTTGATCTCCATTTTTTTTGAAAATGTGCCCATAAAGATTTTTGGAAACACCTAGAGTACACTTCAAAAATCATCCAATCATTACGTTTTTGCGCAACATCACTTATCATGTTGTTTGTTGTGTGAAGATTTAAGATTTCAAGCAAATTGATGATATCATCCAATGTGTATAAGGGGTGATTTTTTTCTCCCGTTGCAACGCACGGGCATGTTTGCTAGTAATAATAAAGGGGTTATTACTTATTGCGGTATGTCACAAAAATTGTAAAATATCACCCACCAATGCCAAATATAAGTGATAAAAGAAGTTTCACACATGGGAATACCCGCCTGGGCTGTCCCATGCAGTAGGGACCTCTTATACTACGCTTTGCGCGTTGGGAGAAAACACAGCGCTCCAGTTTGGGCCGGCGCGTGTCCGCATGGCCTGTCTTTTAAATTTAGTTTTTTTAATTTTTTTCCCTTTTCTGTTTTTTTCTACTTTAAATAATTTTGGATTTCAAAAAAGTTCCCAAAATTCAAAAAATGAGAATTCTAAAAAACAATATTTAATAAATGATAAAATGTTTGTGGATTGAAAAAATGTTCACAATTTTATGAAAAATGTTTGCTTATTCGAAAAATGTTCGAAAATTTGAAAACAAATGTTCGGGAAATGAAAAAACTCTTGATTTTCTAAAAGTTCATGTATTAAATAATGTTAATGAAACTGAAAAAACCGCCAATTCACAAAATGTTCATGAATGGAAAAATATCATAAAAATTCAAAAATTGTTCATGACTTAAAATAGTTTATTCTCTCATAAAATGTCTGTTGATTCAAAAAATGATCATGCATTTCAAAAAATGACTGTTAAATCAAAAGAATGCTCGTGAATTTCAAAAATTGTTCCACCAATTTCCAAAACTATGTTTGTCAATTCTAGAAATGTTCGCTGATTCAAGAAAAATTTTAAAAGATTGTTCACAATTTTAAAAAAATTGTTTGGAAACATTATTGAATGTTCGTGAATTCAAAAATAATCTGGATTTTAGAAAATGTTCAAAAATTTGTAAAAGTGTCATGAATTTGAAAAATGTTCACGATTTCAAATATGTTCATGAGTTTCAAGAAATGTTCATGATTTTCACGAAATCGAGAGTGATAGTGTATCTCGGTGATGCTGCAAAATGTGATCATGACCATTGAAGATGATGATTTTTTTTCTCCCGTTGCAACGCGCGGGCCCTAGTTTAGAATGAAGATCCAAGAGCCCAGCTTTACATTAACAAATCCATCAACTGATCAAGATTACAACCAACAAAGACGCCATCAACAAAGGGCAAGGAAAAAAGAAAAGCCAAGAACTGAAAGATACATGGATATAATAAAACAGTTACAACACAACTCACTCAACAAGCACTCAAACTGAAAGTAATGAAGCTTCGCTTGAAGAAGGGGTGGCCCTTTGCACTTGGTCACCGACGCAGAAGATAAATACACCACAAAAGGAGCAGCCAACCACCTAAAGAACGCTACCACCGACGCATCATTAAGGACCATGGAGATCCTTCACCTTCTTTCCCC